TCGTGTCAATTGAAAGTCGAAAGCTTTTGGTAACTATGGAAACAAATTATTAATGATTTTGTAGTAATGAAAATAGCCCCTTACAATCTCTAACACTTAAAAGTGCAAACTTATCAGAATATGTTTTAAAATAATGGGACTGAGTGTTTTTTTAATATTCAATAAGTTTAAATTTTAAGACATACGTTATGTTAAAACTGTAACTCTTAGCAATTTTTAACTAAAGGGAAATCTGCTGACTTGGGTTGTTGTTGTAGTTACTTTACGTCGCACTAGAGCTGCACAATGGGCTATTGGCGACAGTCTGGGAAGCATCCCTGAGGATGATCCAAAGACAAGCCATCACAATTTTGATCATCTGCAGAGGGGATGGCACCCCAGCTTCGGTAGCCCAACGACCTATTACGGTAGAACAGTTTTAGGAGGATCAATACCGCATACCCTCGGTCCCTGCGCAAACTGATCCAAGTGGTCACCCACCCGCACACAGACCGCATCCAGTGATGCTTGACTTCGGAGATCTGCTGGGAACCGTGTCTTTACGATCAGTCTACTGCGGGACAATGAATCTTAGAAATTAGCTCTTTTTAATGTTAGTAATCATTTATTTATTTATTTTGTAAACCAGATGTTTTATGTATTAAGCTAATGAAAGTTCTGAAAATCTTAGATATTAATTATTAGATATTATTTAGATATTAGTCCACTGCGGGACCTGCTGACTTGGGCATCATGGTCTTGAATGCTTGAAACTTATGTAACTAGAATTATTATTCTAATGAACAAGCTGATGGGGGATTGTTTATATTCCTTGCAATGACCGCCATTACTATTTATTTTCAGAATTTCTGTCAAAATTGAAGTAAATTGAGTAATCGTTCGGGGTTCCTTTAAACTATTATTCTATAGCTATTTGTTAGAACACTTAGGAAAGTGGAGCTAAGAATAAAAAATAATTTTGATTGGCGACCGATGATTTTAATGGAAGTTGATAAAAACACCTCAAGTTTTATCAGACAACAAAACTGGTTTCAAAGTTTTTTATTCCACGCACCTCACAAGTTACTTCATAGTTTTTGATACTTTTTTTTGTTTTTTTTCAGCGCCTAAGTTTAAAGTTGATTTGCGATCTGTAATGCGATCAGAATCCTCAATATATTCTTAATTAATACATGATCTTCGTTCAATTTAATTATTTTTTATATATGATCTTTATTAAACGATAAGTTAAAATTAGGGAAACTTTTAATTATTTGATTTTTTCATTCAAAACTTTCTATTTGAGGGCAAAACTTAGAGAAAAATTGCATAGTGTGTAATTGATGTTCCCAACGATTATAATCTTTTAATCTCAATGTTGTAATCTTAACTCCTCAATTAATATATAATAATATATTCTTACTAAAGCAAATTTTAGTTACATTTTTGTAAGCAAACACTTTAATTTTATTGCAATAACACTTTTGTAACTTTAACCGATGCTCAGAAATTATTTAAGTACCACCACTAAGATATGTTTAACTTTTTGCTACTCACTTTAGCTATAGATATTTATGATATTTTAATATTTTTGCTTACAGCCATTATTTCATTTCCAGTTTCTGCAAATAAATAAATCCAATTTCTTTAAATTGAAAAGATGCTTTCTTTGAGTCATTACAAGCAAAGCACTATACTGAAGTATTTAATTAAGTAAAATATATCTTTAATTATTCATGAAAATGCGGTATGAATAAATAAATTATAGATATGATAAATATTTTATAATTACTTTATTTCAACTTTGCTAAGTAAGTATTGTTGTTGAAGTAAAACTGTAGTAGTAGAATGGATTATTAAGATATTTATATACGCTATAATTTGTAGTTACTTTTAATATCATTGTTATAATTTCATTGTCAATAAATGAAGCACAGATATGATAAATATTTAATAATTACTTTATTTCAACTTTGCTAAGTAAGTATTGTGGTGAAAGTAAAACTGTCGTAGTAGAATGGATTATTAAGATATTTATATACGCTATAATTTGTAGTTACTTTTAATATCATTGCTATTAGTTTTCTCTGTAAACTTGATTGTCATGTGTGGCTTAAGTGAAAAATAGTCTGTTGAAAAAAAAATTTCTTTTTCTTAAACATTTTTATAGGACACTGTTTTGAAACTAGAAAAATTCTTATATATTATTTATATATTTTTTTCATCTAAACATGCAAAAATTGAAAAACGTCCCTTTGCGATTTTACAAAAGAACTTATATAGCTCTATTTTTTTTATTTATAAGGAAACATTATTCAAATAAAAACACATCTTTCATTCCCTATTCACTGAATGGAATGTAACATTCTCTTACAGCAAAAGAATCCGCTTCGTAGGAGTTATATATCCGAAAGAATTTCAATAACAAAAGCTGTGATTTAAACATATTAAATAAACCCTATCTTGTAAGAAAACTAGTTGCACGTACAATTCAATGCTGTTTTTCGAGAAAGCTCGAAATAGAAAGTGATTGCTTTGAAGTTTTGCATTACACGTTTTTCAAAAAAAATTAAAATTGCATTTTACAATCTGGAATTTAAACCTAAAAGGTACATGGATAAAGTCTAAAGCTTTACATTGAAGTTGTATACCTTATCTGTATTTAAAGCGATATTGATACTGAGCAAGTTATTGACAATAATGGAAATGTTTCTAAGCGACTGCTTTTAAGAAATATTATTGTTTTTCGCCCTGAAATAGGAATAAAGTACCCTGCCAAATTATTAGGGACACTTGAAATTTCTAAAAAATTGTCAGTTTTCAAAGTGTCATAACTTTTTCAAAAATGAATCAATTTTCATAAAAGTTTCAGGATGTCATGTTCAGGTCTTCTACTTTCTCCTAAAAATTACTAATTTAATTTACTAATCTCAATTTTTTGCAAACATTTGCACATTTGAACAAATATATTTTTTTTTTGTTTTTAAAAATGTCAAGTTTGTGGTATAAATGTTTTTGCATAAAAATTATTATTTACACTTTAAAGTACAAGTCGTTAACTTTAAAACGTGCTAAAGTAAATGACTTAACGATTCTTTTTGACTTAGGTATGAGATTTTGAAAAATTTTTGTCATTTATAGTGAGTTGCGGCAGTATTTTTGGTGAAAATGATATTTCAATTGAATTAAATGAAATCGGTATCAAAATTTTAGAATAAATTAGAATTGTTTTTTCAAATTATATAATAAATTACATATATAATAAAATTATATATTTATACTCGAAAGAATAAATAATTGGTTTTATTTATGAACATCTACAATTTCTTGAGTCGTTTTTAAAATTGCTATTGCAAATTTACAAATAATGTTCTTTTTTGTAATAATGTTTTAAATAAAAAAATTAATTAATCCGACTAAGAAAGTTGCAAAAAAATAATACTAAATACTAAATAATTTTCGAATTCATTAAATAGTGAAAATGTAGATGTTTATAAATAAAACCAATTATTTATACTTTCGAGTATAAATATAAACATTTTATTGTATATGTAATTTATTATATAATTTGAATAAACAATTCAAATTTATTATAAAGTTTTGATATCGATTTCATTCAATCCACTTGAAATCTCATTTTCACCAAAAATACTGCCACAACTCACTTTTCACTATAAATGACAAAACAGTTTCAAAATTTAATATCTCGGTCAAAAAAATTTCGTAAAGTCATTTACTTTAGCGCGTTTTAAAGTTAACGACTTGTACTTTAATGTGTAAATAATAATTTTTATGCAAAAAATTTTGTCACAAAGTAGCAACTTGTCAGACTTGACATTTTTTTTCAAAAAAAAAATTGCTTGGTTCAAATGCGCAAATTTTTGCAAAACATTGAGATAAATTAAAATTAGTAATTTTTAGGTAAAAGTAGAAGACCTGTACATGATATCCTGAAATCTTTAAGAAAATTGATTCATTTTTGAAAAAGTTATGATTCTTTGAAAAAGGACAATTGTTTGGAAATTTTAAGTGTCCCTAATAATTTGGCAGATAACTGTACATCTATATAATTGCATAATTTATAATTACATAAATCATGCAATGAAAAGTTTAAACCAAAGTGGATATAGTATAATGCTTTACGTTGAAGTTGTAAGCCATATCTGTGTTTAGAACGATACATATCTTGAGCAAGATGTAGTCAATACTGAAAATATTTTAAGCGACTACTTTTAAGAGAAGAATCTTCTTTATTTCGTCGTTATAGGAAAATATCGATATAATTGTATGATTAATAATTATATGAATCATGCAAAAAAGGTCTAAGCTTGTAATGTTAAATTTATATTGTCAAGAGCATTTTTCAATACAGAACATTTTTGTATATTTTTAACTAGTTTTAATAATATTTAAAATATTTTCAGTTTGAAATCTCATTTCAGAAAAAAAATAAATTTTTAAGTTTAATTTGCGTTTGAACTCAATATAGATACAACGACGACATGTTAGTGACATGAAATAGAATATTTTATGAAAACTTTTAAAAAAACGTTTAATAAATTGTCAAAAATGGAACAAAATGTTTCAATTAAGGAAATTTTTTATCTTTTAAAATAGCTACTACTAATAACAATAAAAATATCACCGTTCCTTTGAGTGACAATATTAAACTACTGAAAAATTCAAAATGAGATAATTTAAATGGAGAAATTTAAGAAAATCAGCATTCATTGTCATTGTTGAATAACAATGATGAAACTCTGATTAAAAGATAATTTTGTTAATGTGCAGAATTGCCTGAAGGAAAAGATGAGTTTAGTATTTTCTCAGTTTATTTAGTGAGTCGGGTAACTAGACAGGGTGCTGAAATTATTTAGTTATCATTAATATTGCATTGATTTTTATTACATTATTTTGTAAGCTATAAAATATATTTTTCGTTAGATTTTTGGTAAATGTTTTTGATATTATTTTTCAGATTGAAATTATTTTAATTAATTTTTAATTTTATTGTCTTCCAGAATAATGTACCAAGATCTGCAGATGGAGCAAAGTATACAACAGCACTTCATCTCTGATAAAATGATACTATTTTTCAAATTTTGAAGATCGATGTTCTTATTAAGTGGAATCCTGCTACTTAAAGATGAAATGATGGAAAACACTGCTCTAAAAATAAGATTCCGCAATACGCTTATTTAATTTATCCGGAGTTAAAAAAATAATTAAGAATTTGAAGAAAAAAAGAATGATATAAACAGTTTTTAATTTTTGAAAGTTATCAAAAAAAGACAAATGGTGTCGTGAATTGTTAGGAACAAAATTATTTTAACCACAGTGTAAAAAATCAAATTTCTAAAATTCAAACTTTTATTGACATGCACGTTTATTCCAGTATAACTATATACGATGACATTGTTTCAATGTTACTTTCTCAACAATTTCCAAGCACTAGACACAAGCTGAGAAACTGAGAAGCATGAAGAATAATTCTCTGGAATCTCGCATTAATTTTGTGGCATCTCATGATAATTTTACAGTGGAAGAAGCAGATCTAGCTATCACTTCGGAAATAATATGGTTGATATTTATTTGCATATTCTTAAGCATACTGATTATTGCGACCATTGTGGGGAATATTTTTGTCATGATTGCCATCGTCAAGGACAGAAATCTTAATAATTTAAGCAACTATTTAGTGTTCTCATTGGCGCTTGCCGATTTGCTAGTAGCTTTACTAGTCATGCCAATTGGCGCAGTTTATGAAGTTCGAAAAGAATGGACGATGGGTCCAGTTTTATGTGATTTATGGACTTCTTGTGACGTGCTTTGCTGCACGGCTTCAATACTTCATCTACTAGCCATAGCCGTAGATCGCTATTGGGCCGTTACTAATGTTGACTACGCTAGAAACCGATGCAAAAAGCGTATTTACACAGCTATATTTTTAGTTTGGGGCATATCATTTATCATATCAATTGCCCCAATATTTGGATGGAAAGATCCAGATTTTACCACACGTATCGAAATCGAAAAACGCTGCTTAGTGAGCCAAGATTTAGGCTACCAAGTGTTTGCTACTTGCTCAAGTTTTTATGTTCCATTGGTAATGATTCTAATTCTGTATTCACGAATATTCCAAGAGGCTCGAAGAAGAATCCGACGTAGACCAGGAGCCGCCAGTCAGGCTATGCTGCTAGTTCAGCGTCCCCCACCGGCTTTTACAGACTCCAAGCGAAGCAGCAGTTCGCCGTCATCAAGCTTCGATCCACCATCTTCCGTTGTAGATACAACTCTTTCTTGCAATATCATGAATGCAAGCGGAACTCCATCTCAAAATGCAAATGGCGTACAGAACTCTAAGCAATCGATTCTAACTCCACAAAACTCTTCTTCCGGAAGTGGTGGGGCTGTCGGTAGGTTACTGCACATAGGAAAACGCGGTGAAAAGAAGTCAGAGAACAATTTAGCTAAACGCGAAAAGAAAGCTGCTAAAACCCTAGCTATAATCACTGGAGTTTTTGTAATGTGCTGGATGCCTTTCTTCGTCATGGCCCTACTACTACCTCTGTGCAACGAATGTGAGCCTTCTTTTCCAATTTTTAGTGTCTTCCTATGGCTGGGTTATGCGAATTCTATGCTCAATCCTATCATTTATACAATATTCAGCCCAGACTTTCGAAGTGCGTTTCGAAAGCTGTTGTGTACAATCCACACCAGTCAGCGACCACTGTGACTTAACTCTTGTTGTTTCCTCTAACTGCACACGATGTTATCGCACAGTGTTTTGAATGTTTCATAAATGTACCAAATTATTCAATCCATATTACTAAGTAAAGTGCTTGTTGTTTGCTCTAATTCTATGCTTGCTCTACAGTTTCTTCTGTGTTTGCATGGAAAGCGTCACAAATGCTGTGATAAGAAGCATGTACAGTTTTTAATTTGATATTTAGCGTGTTTAATGAAACAATAGTTTGAAAAATCTTACTCTACCGGTGGGACATGATTAAGAAACAATAATCTCTATTTTTAGTTGAATTACTAAACTATAATTCAAAGTGCAAAAAAAAAAAAAACATATGTATGCATGATGATTGTTGAAAAAAGTATGTAAACTTTCAATATCCCAACGAAAACTTATTTGGATAATCTTATTTTTTCATACATATGAAGATTGTCGTCAAGAATATTACTTCTACTTCATTTTAATCCCAGAAGAGTAAAGAATTGGTAAGTATAGAGTATAATATATTTTTTATTCTATTTTTTGATTTGATGCTTTTTATTTATACCTAAAAAATCAGAAGTTGCGTGTCCAGAAACACCAAGAAGTGATGTGGCCTATAGAAACAGCAAGAACAAATAGTGAATATAACAAATTAACGAAAAAAAGAAAGGAAAAGGCCTTTAAATCCATAAAATCGTAAAACTCACAGAAACGTGAATAGTACAAAATAGCTTATTTCTTTCTATTTTGTTGATAAATAGTAAAATAATTTCTAAATTGTAATAAGTGGGGAACATTTAAAAATATTTAGTCCTTAAATCCTTAAATTAATCATTCACCCTAGCGATTATTCTTTTCGTTTTCAAGCCAACTAATGTATATAACAATAATAATTGACTGATTTTTTTAATTAAATAGACAACAACTAACTTCAAAATAATATTAAATAATGTTTAATTGCTATTTTTTATTAAAACGTCAGTTTGAATGTTACTCAATTTGTTTTGGATTTCAAAAGTTTTTTTAAAATGTTTTTCGAGGAAACTAAAAATTTCTAGTAGGAAAAAAAACATTTTACTATATTTTACCAAAATAAGACAACATAAAAGTGAACAAAACCTATCAATGAATAATATCTATTTTAAGACAAGATAATTAAAAAAAAACGCCAACCTAAGTCAGTTATTAACATTTAGCATAAAAACTCTTTTTGTTCTTACAGGTCTTAATAATCTAATCTAATTTAAATCTTTTAATAAGCCGTAAAATCAAAACCAAGTTTGAAAGGAGATTTTTCCAGCATTTTGAAGTCCAATAAACAGAAAACAATGTTTTGAGATGTTTCAATTTAAATATTTAAGTAAGTAATGCTACATCTAACAAAGCTAGTTATAGCACTTATTGGTCAAATTGAAAGTTTATTGTCAAAAATCCTGAAGCGGCTAAACTACACCAAGCTTACATAACATCACTTTCTCGAACCAATAAAATAAATATTATTATAAATTTGATGAAAAAAGTATATATTGCTTTACTTTTATTTTCCAATTTTGCAGGAAATTAACTGGTCTTTTAAACATATTTGAAATTTATTCTGTTTTTCTCAAAAATTCTCTTTTGTTTTCACTTTTTTGCTTTAAATAACGAGTTTATATCTATTTTCGAACGGAAAATTTTTTGGAAATTTTTAATATGTAAGGAAATTTTAATAAGCAATGATCGCACATGTTTAATAATATCGTACATGTTATTTTTATTCAAATAACCAGAAATGCAAAAGAAATGTTTTGAATAGACATTAAAATATAATAAATCCTTTTTATCTAAAGGAGCAAACTCATCTGTGATAAATTTCAATAAATATGAGGGAAAAAATTTAGTTTAAGGAAATAAATTATCAGACATTTGCAATTCAATAACTTCAATAAATACATAAGTATTTTCCAAACTATATGTTAATTGACAATTCAGCATTCTTACACGGCGAAATACCAAAAACTTTTTATCTATTACTCTTATATATTTTATTCAAATTAACCTTAAAGTTGACAGTGATACAAGAATAGAGAATTTTTATGAGCATGTAAAAATTATCTACATAAAACAATCAACGTGTGTTGGTTGATTAATAACTAGATGATGAAAAACACTTGTAAATATAAGATTTGAAACCGCTCAGAACAGAACTGAAAAGAGTTTTTAACTATTACCATGATTTATTAGAACACTTTTAGATTATCGATTATTATTAATTATTTGTAAGGCCAAATATTTATTATATTGGGTGTTAGTTTATGATAATTAATTTATTGATGAACTACTGATATTTGTTATCAAAAATAAAACAATCGATTTTCCTAAATATTGTTTTTTTTAAATAAATTGCTTGAATAAGATATTTTTGCGAAATGAAAGGAACAGAAGTAAATATATATTTTTGGAAAGGTTGTAGCATGATTATATATTTCTTCATATAAAATGGAGCTCTTTTGAGATGAAAAAAAATAAAATTGCCTTTTGTTAGTGATCCCTTGGCATAAAAATGTTAAACCGAAAAACGCTGATGCATTTTAAACATTAATATTTTTTATCACTAGAAAAACATTTACTGTATTCGTGTTGATAGCATATGATAGCTTTTGGATGGTACTTATTTTAGTTTTGCAAGAAACATTTTTCCTTTAAAAGAGGCATCGTATTTAAAATGTAAACAAACGTAAGTACACTGAAAATTGTTTGTTCTTTTTTACAAAATTCATATACAATTCTTATCACCTTTTTTTAAAGCTATTTATACATTTTTTTTATTTTTGTTTCATTAATTTTGCGAGTTTTGATAGTGCATATATATTTATAAAACAGAATACTCTATGTTTTTATCCTCAAAATTTGTTGAATCGGTAAAGTCCTTATATATTATAAATAGTCCCTATGTATTTTAAGCATTTACGATAATAAAACCGGTAGTGGATATTGTTTGGAGAATAAAACATATTTATTAAAAGTATTTTTTTACCATTCTTTATTTTGTTTCATTTTTTACAATTTCACACTTAATTATCTCTATCAAATAAATTTAATATAATTACTAAAAAAATTTAATATAATTAGTTCTTAAACTTATCTGATGCACTACACCACATAAAAAGTATTAAGTTTCTGAAAATGAAAAAATACTGGCAACTACTTTATCTCAAAAATGGTGTAATGAAACACCAGCGATAGTTCTTGGTGTAATCATACACCAAACAACTAGAATGTTCCATTACATTTCTTTAAGTGTGAAGATTGTCCACCAGTTTTAGTGTTCAGTATCGTCAAAATTGTAAAGATAATAAGATTTAAAATACACACGAGTTAGTAAAGTTATTTTAATGATACAATTTAAAGGAAAAAAAATTGAGGACGATAACAAATCACTACTCTGGAAGTAAAATTAGTTTGTAGATTAATTTTTCACATTAATCGAAGCATGTTCGTTGCATATTAGGTTGTTGTAATCAACCATACACGCTGCACCAAGAAGAAATATAAACAGATTCGAAATGGGCCTAATACAACAAAAGTGAATACAATTGTAATATTATGAAATTGTTTTATATAATTGATTCCCATATGTAAATTACCACATGAGAATAGGATATTGTTTGAAACATCTAAAGCCATATATGGCTTTTCTAACCGTGAATTTCATGAAATGTGCAAGATAACATCGAACTTACATCTTCTCGTGCTCAAAAGTAAACAATCTAAAATTGTCATCAGCCATTTGTTCAAATAACTGATAGGTGCCTATAACCTTAAACACTATAACCTTTTAATTTTGAACCAAACTAAAGACAGACAAATGAATAAATATTGGAAACTCCTAATTCGAATACAAATTTGTGTTAATGCTAGTTGAGTTTACGCTAATTTAATATTATGCTTAGATTTTATTTTTAAATTCTTGACTACATTCCGCGCACAAGTATCCAACATTTACACTTAAATATGCTAATGACTTAAATATACCAAAAAGAAAGGGGATATTAAACTATACTCCGCTGGAATTGAAGGGATTAATGTGGATTGTAAGAATTTTTAAAAATAAAACGAGTTCTAAATAGTATCATTTTTCAAATAATTAGATTAAGTCAAATTCGCAAATAATATTCTCAAATTTAACCCTTTCTAGCATAATAGTTACATTTTAAACAACAGTAAATGATAATTACTTTTGATAATTAATTTTTATTTTATGTATCAGAGATGGAATTCGATTTAAGAGTAGACATCACTGTTCACTCTCTTATAATCTTATTTCAGATTAAATAAAATTAAAATTTAAGATTGGTAATTTTATATGTGTCAAAGATACATTTAGTTTTTAATTAAATGTTTCCATAGTAATTATATGAATTCGTGTTGCTGCCAATTTTTATATGGAATGAAATTTGGTTTCCATTCTGAATTAAATACCTTTCAGAAAATTTTAACATTATCTATAGAATATTATAAATTTATTAGCTTATTGATTTATGTATTAATTTATTTTTGAAACCCGTTATATTGGACAATAATGAGTATCAACCATGTATATCTTCAGTTATAATGTTTGTTATACTGAAATATCTATAATTTAAAATGTTCAAAGATATATTTAGTTTCGAAAATAATTCAAATTCAATTTCAAAGATCCTTTTGAAATATTTTTCAAGGCGATTGCGTTACAAGTTAGAACAAAGAATAACTGGTTAGAATAACTGAGAAGAATAACATGTTAGATAATTCTTTTAACTTGTTAAAAAAATAAAAAAAAATAACTGCTCTTGAAAATTAAAAATTCATTTCATAAGCAAATGACAATTTATAGAGTAATTTCATCGAACAATCGCTCTTTCTCTCTCTGTACCTTTAATGTTAAAATAAAGCATATAAGCCATACTATTTTTAAACTGAGGCATATAAGTCGTATCTTGTGAAAATAAAATATACCAAAAAGCATACGCTTGTTAAAATACGGAATATCACGAAACATAATCTTTTTAAAATAAGCCGTATCATCAGATATACGCTTGTTAAAGAAAGACATGTCATAAGACATATTCTTGTTTAAAAAAAAGGCATATCATAAAGCATACTCTAGTTAAAACAAGTCATACGTTTATTGAAATACGGTGTACTTATTTATAAAAATATTAAGCCATAATTTCATATACGCTTCTTTTTGACGTCCTTCAAGAGCCTTTAGATTTTTTTTTATTTAGACATATCATCAGACATACGCCTGTTAAAAAACGGCATATCATAGGGCATATTCTTGTTAAAATAAGGCATATCATAGGACATATTCTTGTTAAAATAAGGCATATCATAAAACATACCCTTGTTAAAATAAGGTATACATTTGTTAAAACACGGTGCATTAAACTGCGTTATAAATAACCAGTTATTCCACAGCAACCGTTTATAACTTACCTCAAAAACCTA